TAAGAGCAAACATCATTAGATTTTACGGCAATAGGGGATCAATCTATATTATTGATTGACTGCCTCCATTTTGTTGCTGCTAGCAAATTCCAATATTTTTGCTTTTGGATCTTCTTAATCATTCACACAGAGATTGTCCAGAGATTAATAAAAACTATATAATTTTGAGTTGCGCTAACAAATTAGGTGACAAAAAGTGACATCATAAAACGATTCGCGAACATATGCTGTGGTATAAACTAATCATCCAATAAAATACACTTTTCTGAGTATATACTAAATCTTTTGGTATTGAAAAAATTCACTAAATAAATTCAACTGCTATCCAGAACCATGCAGGTTCAAGTCTGATGAGAACCCATTATCGAAAAGGGTACATGCAACATATACAGATATGGTCTCACCAACTTCGTTTAATCAACTAATACAAGTTGTTCTAGACTCGTGATGTTCCGCGTAGCAAGTCTCAATGGAAAAAAAAATCCATGTAACAACTATGAAGCCCTTTTGGGGTGGCCGAAGTATATCCCACCAAAAACCTGTCATCTATTAGTAAAACTGCTTTGGTGCTCCCCTAGAATGACACAGTTTATAGCTCTCTTTTGTGCAAGCATGGGGAGAGGAGCCCCATTCTTTACTGGAAATCAAAACTGAAAGTCAAATCCACCAGGAAAGCCTCCTCCAAATCCACCACCGCCACCGCCAGGGAAGCCCCCTTCGAAAGTAAATGTAAATTGTTGTGAGCCACCACCAAAAGGGTTAAAACCGCCGCCGCCGCCCATTCCTATATCTTCAATATCTTCACCTCTATCATATTTTGTACGTTTGTCTTCATCTCCGAGAACCTGCAAAGGATTATACAAGGGTAAGACGGAACCAAAAAGTCCACATATAAGATTCCTTTATTGCAGCAAATAAGTGGAAAATCTAGTAAAGGTTAAAGCTCAATAGGAAAGGAAAGGAAGATTAAAAAGAGCTTCAGAGAAAATATTCAGACCTCATATGCAGCAGCAATTTCTCTGAACTTTTCCTCTGCTTCTTGTCTATTCTCAACATTTTTATCTGGATGCCACTGCAAAGCAAGCTTCTTGTAGGCTTTTTTAATCTCTGAAATAGATGCAGTCTTTGAAACTCCCAAAATCTTGTACCAGTCTTTACGTTTGCTCATCTTTAAGGCTTTCTCAGCCTTCATCAATGCTTCTCGAATATTCATATCCTGCACAATAAGAAAACAATTAATCCGAGAAATTTATCAACATTACATTAATGGACGCAAGTGCACAGACACTCATGCACACACCCGAAGTTATGGTCGTATAGTGCACTTAACACACAGTTACATTGATATAATATTGTTAATGGTATACCTATCCACAGAACAAGACATAAAATACTTGGCTTCTAATCCAGCAGCTGCAACAGAGTAAACATAATGGCTAACCTGAGGTGATCGCTGAGCTGCTGATTTGAGATCTTCCACAGCTCCCTCCCAATCCTCTGTCAGAAGTTTAGCTTCACCCCTCTGTAAACACAAAATTTAGTAAATAAACTTGAGGACAGCCATATTTTACACTAAATAATACACTAATATTAAATTCTATAAATGCTGAGGAAAACAGGGTATAACAGAAGCACCAGCAAACCTGAACTAAAGCTTCAAGAAGCTCCTCATCAATTTTAAGTGCTTCATTGCAACTGCTTAAAGCATCCTTTCCCCTGCCAAGCTTGACTAGGGCTTTACACAAGCCAAGATGAAGATGTACATTATGAGCAAGATGATTAGGGTCCAATGCTAGGGCTGCCTTAAATTCCTCTACTGCAAGGCGCAGCTTGCCCTTATTTACATTATCCTCTGCCTGCATAAAGAAAAATTGTCTGAAAGAGATCACCACATGATGCATAACATGGTAATGGTTCACGCAGGCTCTAAAGAAGGCCAACTTATGAAATAGTTTCACTACCATTGCCAAACTTCTCGACATGCCCTAGCCATTAGGGAAGAAGAGGAAAAGTTAAACAAAAAGAAAAATCAAAAAACAATTGTTAGGACTTACACTTTTAGTCTTCTTGAGTAAGTTTTTCAGTCCGAAATACGCTTTCTTCAGTTCACCATGCTCTGGATCTAGGCGGAGACCCTTTTGGTAATGCCTAAAGAAATTGTATATATTCATTTTACTCTAACCAAATTATAAAGAAATTACTCAAAATTTAACAGGGTGCTAATCAAACCTCTGAGCAACATCATGATCAGCTAAATAGTAGTAGGCACGGCCACGGAGTAATAATGCCTCCAGATTATCCTCATCTTCTTTGAGAATGTACCCAGCCTCAGCAATGACACCAGAATAGTCTTTAGTTGCTAACAACAATCTCACCTTCAGCAGTTTGGCCTACAAGAAACAACGTGCTCATGATTATGAGGTCACTAAAGTATTGAATTTATAAGATCCTTAATACCAACTCTCTACAATCAGCAAAAGAGCTGTTTGGGTATGATGTATAACTACATGGAACTGAAATCAAACAAATGATAACGACCAAAATGGAAAGGAAATAGAATTGATTACCTTTGAGCATGCTGGAGAGAAAACCAGTACAACTTTTTCAACGTACTCCAAAGATTTCGCATAGTCGCCTGATTCAGAGAGAGTCAAAGCTGTCTCCAGAGCATTCTGAGACTGAATTAATTGCGAAAGCTCCTTTTCTGCAACTGATTCCCGTGGTTTTAGCTCCAAAAACTTTTTGTAGCTCTTCTCTGATTCCTCATATCTACATCAGCCAAAAAGCGCCTGAATCATATAATTTTCCAATCAGAAATTGGAAAGGAAAGGGAGAAGAGAGGATTTTGAAAAGGTTCTGAAATCAATAAAAGCTATGTAAGTTATTGATATTTATTTTTTTCTGCCACTGTCTGTCTCAACTTACACCTAATGAAAAGATACAAAGGATAAAAGTTGAATCGACCATTGAGTTAAGCTCAAGATCAACAATTTTGGTCTAATCATCAGTATTTTGGCAGCTGACTAGCTGTAGCCCAGTTGTAAAATGCATGAACGACTATGGACAAAAGCCCATGGTTCAGTTGCTTTTGAGCACACACAGACATGATTTGGATGCTGCACTTTGGAAGCTTTGAGACAATGGGCCTCGGGACCATACTAATTATATCAAAGTAGATCGCAATGATAACAGCAATGGAGGACAACCACAGCAATTGGAAAAGAAAAGGGTTTTTTTTAATAATAAGGAACAATATAAGTTGGGGAAAAGTGGAGCTATAGATGTTAAAGGAATGGATGGATCAATCTTAGAAATAAAAACTTCTCATTAACATTCTTATTTTCACTGAAGATTTAAATAGAAAATGATAAATGCTGAAACATTCTTTAAAACAAACTAAATATACTCCGTTTCCTGAGAATGGTAATTATTTAAAAATTAACAATTCTGGTAAAGAAGTAACATAATCATAGAAGTACCTGCATATATGGCGAAGAACGGATGCACGATGGTAATATGCTTCTGAAAGTGTTGGATCTGCCTCTATAGCAGCATTAAGATCATTAAGTGCCTCACTATATCGCTTCACCTTTATACTCTGTGAAACCCTCTCAAACAATTCAGCTGCATTGCCTGGTTTGCCATCTGCACATGCGAGATTCACGTTATGTAAGCCATTATCAACACACGTACGTACCAAGCCACGTATAGAAACCTAACAAACAAAAAACATAGCAGGCTTGGCATCTGTGTAGTCACGGAATATTCAAACTAACATGCCTACTCCATACGAGTCAATATTGTATACTTATTAAGACAACCATTCCTCTAGACTTCCATTTTCCCGATTTTCTACTAAAACTGTAGAATCGGGGAGTTAATTCCTTTTTTCTCCACCAATATAATTACCATTTCCATTATGTGAAAAAAAATAATTCTTAAAAGTGAATATTCCTACTGTTAAACATGTCGCTCTAACCCTTATTCAACCGTAGTATACTTAATTTAGGGTACTGCACTCATTTACATACAAAACTTCTTATCAACCTAATACGGGCCAAAAGAGGATCATAAACAAACAGAGCAATACCCTTCTAAAAGGGCTACACATAGTACAAGGTTCGTTCCCATCCCATGTATAAACATTGATTCTTTGATTGATATGGCTATGCTGCAATCTAGTTAAAGCCCAGAATGCAAAATTGACAAATACAAAACCACCATGTACTCTCTCTAGTACAATGGCTACCTACAGAGCCATTGAAGAATACAAGCGCAATGAATGCAAATATAGTTTAATTTTCACTAAAGCCCAGAACACTGCTAACCCTAAACAACCACAAAGCAAGGATCTTTCAAATTTGGCGCTACAAATAAGACCACCCAACTGAAAAAAAAGTGCGGAATTTAACATGAAGCATTAGATCAATGAATAAATTCAAACAAAAGGCATGAAGATAAAGATCAAAGAGTGAGTGAAACAGACCTAGAGCTGAAACCAGAGGTTGAAGAAGGAGGAGCTGGCAGACAAAGACGAAATGCAGTATGAACCCCGTGTACATCAAGCCTCTCCAGGCCACCATATCCATGGCGAATGAGCAACTCCAAACCATCACCCTCTCTCTCTCTCTATCCCTCAATTCTGAAACAAAGTTTGAGCATAAATGTTATTTATGTGTATTTTTGTGAACAAAATGATTTAATGTTAATACCAACATAAATTTGCCTAACTTGCGTTTAATAGTAAGCAAGAGGAAGAGAGGTGTATTCGTTCCACGTTACTAGGGCCTATCGCTTA